TATCATATGCTTTGGTTGCCATACAAGCAGAGAGTTGCATATTTCCACTGTGCTTTTGTCTTCTGCCATCACCACACACACACACACACACACACACACACACAAATTGAAAACAGGGCTGGCGCTGTGGCACAGTGCGTTAAAGCTCCAGCCTGCCTGCAAAGCTCCGGCCTGCAATGCATGCATCCCATATGGGCACCAGGCAGAGTCCTGGCTGCTCCACTTCTTCTTCTTCTTCTTCTTTTTTTTTTTTTTTTTTTTTTTTTTTTTTTTTTTTTTTTGACAGGCAGAGTGGACAGTGAGAGAGAGAGACAGAGAGAAAGGTCTTCCTTTGCCGTTGGTTCACCCTCCAATGGCCGCCGCGGCCGGCGCGCTGCGGCCGGCGCACCGCGTTGATCCGATGGCAGGAGCCAGGAGCCAGGTGCTTTTCCTGGTCTCCCTTGGGGTGCAGGGCCCAAGCACCTGGGCCATCCTCCACTGCACTCCCTGGCCACAGCAGAGGGCTGGCCTGGAAGAGGGGCAACCGGGACAGAATCCGGCGCCCCGACCGGGACTAGAACCCGGTGTGCCGGCGCCGCTAGGCGGAGGATTAGCCTAGTGAGCCACGGCGCCAGCCTTTTTTTTTTTTTTTTTTGACAGGCAGAGTGGATGAACAGTGAGAGAGACAGAGAGAAAGGTCTTCCTTTTGCCGTTGGTTCACCCTCCAATGGCCGCTGCGGCCGGCGCACCACGCTGATCCGATGGCAGGAGCCAGGTACTTATCCTGGTCTCCCATGGGGTGCAGGACCCAAGCACTTGGGCCATCCTCCACTGCACTCCCTGGCACAGCAGAGAGCTGGCCTGAAAGAGGGGCAACCAGGAAAGAATCCGGCGCCCCGACCAGGACTAGAACCTGGTGTGCTGGCGCCGCAAGGCAGAGGATTAGCCTAGTGAGCCTCGGCGCTGGCCTTGCTCCACTTCTGATCTTGTTCCTTGCTAATGTGCCTGGGAAAGCAGCAGAGGATGGCCCAAGTGCTTGGGCCCCTGCACCCAGAGAGGAGACCCAGAAGCTCCTGGATCCTGGCTTCAGCCTGGCCCAGCCCTGATGTTGCAGCCATTTGGGGAGTGAACCAGCAGATGGAAGACTTCTCTCTCTGTTTCTACCTCTGTAACTCTGCCTTTCAAATAAAAAAAATTTTTTAATTGAAATCTATGCACAGTTTCTCATAATACACATTTTCATGAACTTTTCAGACACCTCATATGCATGGGTTTCAAAAATTTTTCACCAAGAGGCCAGCTCTGTGGTATAGCAGGTAAAGCTGCTGCCTTTGGTGCTGGCATCCCATATGGGTGCGGTTCAAGTCCTAGCTGCTCCACTTCCGATCTAGCTCTCTGCTTTTGTCCTTAGAAAAGCAGTGGAGGGTGACCCAACTACTTAGGCCCCTGCACCTATGTGGGAGACCTGGAAGAAACTCCTGGCCCCTGGCTTTGAACCTGTCCAGCTGTGGTTGTTGTGGCCATTTGGGGATCGAATCAGCAGATCTCTCTCTCTCTCTCTAACTCTACCTTGCAAAAAAAAAAATAAATAAATGATTTTTAAAAGTTGTGCCAAAATAAACTTCTCTCTTAATTCCATTTTTCAGAAACCTTTTGACATACCCTCAGATTTCCTGTTGCACCTGAAGACAATATCCAACTGAAAGCCTACATACAGAATGAATTTTCAGTTTATGTGCACGCTTGCTACATATTCCACACATCTAATGACCATTCCTGTAACTAGAGACCGAGTAAATGGGCCGAGTAAACACTCACTTGTGCTCACACACGTACGGGCACAACTACCGCTGGATGGCAGAAACAACAACATTCACCATTAAATCCCCACGTCCAGCGTGTGCCTCGCACAGATAGCTTTGCCATAAGTATCTGTTTAATGAGTGAATAAATACATATTTTTAAATACACTGAACACCAATTTTACCACCAAGAGGCCAGGCTGGGACTCAGTGGCTTGAAGCTCAATTTGTACCCTAAAAGGAGTGTTAATATATTATATAATTAAGCAATTTCTATTACCTCAAAGCTAAGCATTTCTGAGGAAAGACAATTTTTACTTCCTTACCTAAAAATAATTGTGGCTATAAATACCATATTTTTGTGTTTACTAACCATGCAGTATAATTGCTTAATACCATTAATGATTTGGTTGAATATTTTTAACAACTTTATTGAGTTGAAATAACATGCAAATCACCCATTTAAAGTATGCAATTTAATGATCTTTAGTAGGTTCACAGAATTGTGCAACCATTAGCACAATCAATTTTAAAATATTTTCATTACTCTAAAGAGAGAAAGAGGGGCCAGCAAGGTAGCAAAGCCAGTAAAGCTGTTGCCTGTAGTGCCAGCATCCCATATGGGTGCTGCTTTGAGTCCCGGCTGCTCCGCTTCTGACCTAGCTCTCTGCTGTGGCCTGGGAAAGCAGTAGAAGATGGCCCAGGTCTTTGGGCCCCTGCACCCACGTGGGAAACCCAGAAGAAGCTCCTGGCTCCTGGCTTCGGATCAACTCCAGCTATCGTGGCCATCAGGGGGAGAACCAGAGGATGGAAGACCTCCCTCTCTCTCTTTCTCTGCCTCTCTATAACTTCCAAATAAATAAATAATTCTTGAGAGAGAGAGAGAGAGAAATCTCTTTCCCAAAAGAAGTTAACTCCACATTTTCTCCAAAATGTTCCCCACCCTCACCTCTGACCAAGCACTGACCCACCTTTTTGCCACATAGATTTGCCTATTCTGAACATTTCATATAAACGTAATTGTATCCCTAGATGCATTTCATATAAATTGCTCCTAACCTTAGGCAACCATTAATCAACTTTGTCTCTATATGTTTGTCTATTCTGAACATTTTATATAAATGCAATAGGTGCTCTTATTTAACCAGAGCGTTTCACTTAGCATATCGTTTTCAAGATTCACCCATGATTAGCAATATACACCATTACTTCACTCCTTTTCATTGCTGAATAAAATACCACCATTTGGCTATATCACATTTTGCTTATCCATTTATCAGAGAAGGATTTTGTTCCTACTTTTTGGCTATTTTGAACAATGCTGCTATGAAAATTCACATACAAATTTCTCTTATTTATTTATTTATTTATTTATTTTTGACAGGCAGAGTGGACAGTGAGAGAGAGACAGAGAGAAAGGTCTTCCTTTTACCGTTGGTTCACCCTCCAATGGCCGCTGCGGCCGGCGCACCGCGCTGATCTGAAGCCAGGAGCCAGGTGCTTCTCCTGGTCTCCCATGGGGTGCAGGGCCCAAGGACTTGGGCCATCCTCCACTGCACTCCCTGGCCACAGCAGAGAGCTGGCCTGGAAGAGGGGCAACCGGGACAGAATCCGGCGCCCCGACCAGGACTAGAACCCAGGTGCCGACGCTGCAGGTGGAGGATTAGCCTATTGAGCCGTGGCGCCGGCCCAGCCTCCATTTTTTCATCTGTCAAATGTAAATAATAATACATAACTCACAGAATGTGAAGATTAATGATAAAATTGAGACACCTAGCATAGTGCCTGGAGCACAGTAAACCCTGTCTTAGCTATTAGTATTATAGCACTAAGACAATTCCTCAAAATTAAATATTTTGATTTTTAGTAGTGGTTAGAGACCAACATCTCCCTGAAGCAGGCTTCCCCATCTCTTTGGGTTTCATTAATTTTGTATCTTGCTTCTCTCAAGTTTTCTGTTTTCTTGCAGATGATGAATCAAGCTGATAAAAAGCTTCAGTTTCTGTCTCAGTGGGAGAGGTCCAAAAAAAAGGGCTGGCCAACTCTGCACGTCTGCCCTTCCTTCCCTCGTAATCCAGTGCATACCAGCACAGACAGGATTTCATAACCCTTGTCCCCTACAGCCCAACCTCCACACAGAGGGTTTTTTGTAAAAATTCTAAGTCACATCATTCACTGTCCTGATCAAACTCTTTGTGACATCTCTCTCAGAATAAAAGCCAAACGCAGTACAATGGCTTTATAAGAATTTTAAGCCTTGTAAGGGCCTATGTGGTCTGATGTCTGGGTACTGTTTGACACAAGCTCTACTTGCCATACCCTGTCCTAGTCTTTCCTCAAAACTGCAGGCATATTCTTGCCCTGAGGCCCTTCATGTGCTCATTTGCTTCTGTCTAAAAATCTCTTCCTCTAGATACCCACATGGCTTCCTCCATCACCTCCTTCAGAAGCTGAATAGCCTAACAAAATCATCCCTCCACTTAATTTTATTTTCTCCCTAGCACTTGAAACCACATTCATGTGTTTGTTTTCTCCCATAGAATATAAGATACACGAAGACAGAGATTTTAATGGTTTGCTCCCTGCTGTATCCTGTGCCTTTAACACAGGATAACATTGCTTTCGGTCCCATAGAATGCTAGTTTCCTGCTTGATCATGGATTCTCCCATAAAACTCAAACGTATCTAGACAAAGTCCTAACCTTCAGATGTTTAGGAAATGTCTGAGCTGGTTTTACAGCGGGTAGATGGAAACAGAACTAGGAACACAGAAAGGTTATCCGCCTTGCGGTGCCGGCACACCGGGTTCTAGTCCCGGTCGGGGCGCCGGATTCTGTCCCGGTTGCCCCTCTTCCAGGCCAGCTCTCTGCTGTGGCCAGGGAGTGCAGTGGAGGATGGCCCAAGTGCTTGGGCCCTGCACCCCATGGGAGACCAGGCGAAGCACCTGGCTCCTGCCATCGGATCAGCGCAGTGCGCCGGCTGCAGCGCGCCGGCCGCGGCCATTGGAGGGTGAACCAACGGCAAAAGGAAGACCTTTCTCTCTGTCTCTCTCTCACTGTCCACTCTGCCTGTCAAAAATAAATAAAAAAAAATTTAAAAAAAAAAAAGGTATTTGCTTCCCAGCCCCATAATATATACCTTTTGTTTTGAAGGTAGGTTTAATGGCTATCATTTTGTTATTTAAAAATGAATCTCATATTCCTCTGCTTTCTCCAACAGCACGGTAGTTCTCTTGGTAACAAGATCGTAGGTTAGAAGATCATGCTTTTGATAGCCACAACTTTGCAGCTGGAGGATACAGCAGCACGCTGGGAGTTGAATTACAATTCCCGGAGTTCATATCCAGGAGGATTCTGGAGAGAACCAGGCTGGTTGGTTTGTGTATGTATATCTATATAAAAAGCAGAACTAGCTGTTGCAACTGCTGTTAGCTTTGGAGGGTTTAGCAGCGGGCATTGAGAAGTAAACTACATTTCCCATAGTGCACCTGCAGGAGAATTCTGGGAAGTGTGGCAGAAGCAGCAAGAATTCCTCCAGGAAAGGGAAGCTGTTTGAACTTGAACGTTTGGAATTTCCTGACTTCTGCTGATTCTTGAGGCCTAGGAAGGTGCCCCCAAAAGATTCCAGAGTGAGTACAGCGAAACAGAAACTTTTCTGATTCTCCGTGGAGAACGGCTTTTCCAGGGCAGCGCAGTCGCGCTGTATAGTTCGTGGCTTAGTCTCTGAGACCCGGGCAATGGCCACAGCTTGCCTTAGGGAGCTCTCTCTGTAACCGCAGCTGAGTATTTTCTGACACCACTTTGGAGAGATGTTTAAAACTGGAACTGCCTGACTTCTCACGCTGTGCCTTGATTTTTGAATAAAGGGAAGAAAAAGAATTCTTCCAGAAGCCGGGCACACACCGCTCAGCAAGTCCTGCTGGGTGTTTCCCAGCCGTCTCCAGGGGTGCACACTGCCTGTGCCCACTCCGTCCTCACAGAGGCCTCTCCCAAGCCCCACCGGGCCTCCTCCACGTGCACGCAGGCACGAAGAGACGAGACTGGCTTCTGTCTTGCTGCTGTGCTTTTTAAATTAATCTTCCTTCTGGGAAGATGAACAGAATGAGAAGCACGTGTGAATCATTTATTACAGACGTTTCAGAGAAAAACGGTTCATCTTAAGGACCTTGCCCCATCATTTGATAGTTTTTAGTAAAATAAACATGAGATGAATTATTATACTTAAATGTAATGTTATTAATATATAACATTAACTCATCTAAATATGTCTAAATGAAATGTTATCATGTTACCTTTCCTCTCTATTAGCCTTTGCACTTTAAAACAGAACTTGAAGAGCTCTGTGCCCACCAGCTCCTGAGTCAGCAGGCCCTGGTAATCCCTGCGGCTTAGGTGGATACAGTACCAGAGATGGGGCAAAGCGAGAGGGCCAGCGCAGCGAGCCACACGCCTCCTCCGTAGTCATAACTACAGCCACACAGTTCCTGCAGTTCCCAGGCTCCAAGAAATATGCCAAAGGGATGGATTCACTGCCTTGGCTCGCAGGGAATGTGGTGAGGTGTTTATGTGAACGGTGCCCCAGAAACAGGCTCACTGAGCACTGGGCCCAGGAACTCGCGTCTTACCATACTTTCTTTCATCTTCAAAGAAGCGTGTACACATGGTTAAACGTTTTTCCAGTTCAGAAATGAATAAAGTACCTAAGTGAATAAGCCTTAAGTATAGAAATGAATGAAGTAAAAAATCACAAAGCTCCTTTTCAGTTCTGGTCTCCGTCCCAGCCCCCTAAGTGAGTTGCTGTTGGCAGTGTGGTGTGTGCTTCCAGTCACTTGAAAGATAGCAACAAGTACGCGTCTCACTGATGTGTACTTGGACGTGTGTGTGCGTGTGTGTGTGCCTTTCTTTGTGAATTAATGAGCTCATGGTAGCCAATCAAATATCATTTGCTTTTTTGTTCCTCCAGCTTAATTAAAGTACCATTGACAAATGAAAGCTGTATCTCTTTACGGTGTTGAAGATGATGTTTTGATACATGTGTATATTATGAAATGTAAATAAGCTAATTAACATATTAATATCCTCACAAACTTAGCTTTTTTTGTGGTTAGGACATTTAAGATCTTTTCTCTTAGTAATTTTCAAGTACTCAGTATGATATTATTGTTATATTTTTATTATTCTCACCACTAATTGTCATCTGCCACTCAGCAGATCCCTGCAAACATTCATCCTGAGACTTTGCACCCTTTGACCCACACCCCCCTTGCTTTTCTTACTTAATATATTCTGAATATCTTTCCCTTTTACTACAAATATACTTTTGGCTGTTATGTCATTGTTTATTTCTTGTTAACAGCTGTTTATTGTTCCATTTATCATAATTTTTGATTAACATTCTTATTACATATCTTTTCCTTCCTAGGATAAATTCCTAGATATGGGAAGAGCTCCTTACTTAACATTTAATCTCCCAAAATATTGTACCTTCCCCCAAGTTATGTAAGAGCCAGAAGTATTAACTTTAAATATATTTATTACAGAACATCATATAGGCCCTCGGGTTATTAAAACTAGGAATTATACTTTAATGCTCTCTCAAAGAATGCTTTGCAACCCAAATATCGCATACTGCCTGTGTGAAGTTAGTTATTTGTTTTCTGTCTTCTGCTGCAGTTCTTGAGGGTAGGGAATTTCATTCTGCACATTTTTGGGCTCCTTACGGAAACTTGCATAAAGTCAGTACTTAGTAAGTACTTTGTTGAATCTCATTTGCTAAATATATTTCACCCTTGGCTAGGACATAGGTTGTAGCCAAAACTATCCAAGGATTAGTCATCAGTGACTCATAATTATGCAACCAAGAAGTAGGACTGAACTTTCGCTCTTCCCTGATGGTTTTGTGTCACAGCTTGCTTCCCCTGGGAATACAGTCGTGGGGGGCTGCTATTTAGCTGGACTGGTTTTCTAATTTTTTCAATTGACGTCCTTGACTTTTTTACTGAGACTGTAAAAGGAACTTTTTATAGGGAAGGAAATTCTTAACTGATTTATAATTTAAAAAGAACTATTTTCTGCCAGATAGATTCTTCAGATACCAGATTTTTTTCCTTTCCCAATGTACTCCCCCAAAAAACCCAGAAAGTGTCTTGGGCCCATGTGCCTTTCCATGATTTCAGCGTTTTCTTGTCTGCAGGATTCCCCTTACTTCGCTCCCAGGGCCCCGTTTTTGTGGCTGCACTGCTCTGGAGATCACACGGGCCTGTGACGTATCAGCCAGGGTAACCCCAGCTGCTGCAGCACGTGACACTCAAAACGCCAGTGGCTTCCTATGCAGGACGTTTATTTCCCATGCACAAATGGTCCACTGCAGCGGTCTCAGGTTTGTGGGCGGCTTTTCTCCATGTAAATGGCTGAAGGATCCAGCTGCCGCACCTAATGGCTCTGCCTTTCATCTGGGAGTCTTCAAGCAGAGAAGAGGGAAAAAACAAACAAACAAAAAAGGATGGAGAAGGCATCCCTGTCTCTTAACTACAGCAGCCCTGAAGAGATCCACGTCACTTCCACTCACTTTCCACTAGACCCAGACTCCTACCTGCCTCGCTACAAGGGAGGAGGGAGATCTAGGCTTTGGCTACCTGGACGACAGCCACAGTTTGAAGGAGGAGCACACATTTTTTTGTGGCTGGTTAGCTGATTCCTCACAACAGTCTATTAGGCAGGTGGAAGACGTTTCACTTCTGTAGATTAGCAAACAATGCTGTGAAGTGGCGATCCCATAGCTGGTCAGAGGTAGAAATGTGTTTTAGAAACCCCGTCACCTGAGTCCTAGTCAGTAGCTCTTTTCTTACTCTTACAAAATGATCCTACCCTGACTTAAAATAGAACCCTCTTGGTGATCCACGACTTGAACTTGCATACGATGATTCTTTGGTTTTGACTCCTCTTTTCTCTAAGGGCCTGATAATGTTCCTGTACTGTGGAGCAGCTTGGAGGAGCAAATCTGGGTACTTTAGGCTGCTGTCAACCTATGTCACTAAGACACGGTGAGTTTTGAACAACCTGAGCTCTGATTAGTGTACCTTTGGCCTATTGAATTATAAAATCTAAGTATCTCAGAGTCTTGAAGATTCATCACGTGTGATAAAATTACCCATAATTATATTCATTGCATATTGTTTATAACTGGAAAATGTCTAAACTAAATTTCTAATATCAAATGTCTCATACTTATACATAGGTTCTATTATGAAAAGGCTTTGTCTTTTCCTTTGTGGTACCTGTAGTGCATAAGACAGGACCTGACATATAACAGGCACCAAAGTACTGTAGAGTACATGAACAGTAGCAGTGAAACTAAATCAAGTTCACTCACGAAAGAATAGCAAACATATAACATGACACGGGTATTTCATGAAGGTTCTTGAAAATAAGGTAATAACTACAACCCCACCCCCTGTCCAACCAAAGAAGTAAATTTCATTTAAAGCAAGACCAGAAAAAAAAAAAAAAACCTACAACACAGAAGACGATTAAAGGACTTTTACTGTAGCCTGGAGAAATTTGAAATCACTAACCTAGGGCTGGCACTTGGAGTAGTGGGTCAAGCTGCCACCGGCGGCGCTGGCATCCCATATGGACACCACTTTGTACCCAGCTACTCCATTTCCAGTCCAGCTCCCTACTAATGGCCTAGGAAAGCAGCAGAGGCTGACCCAGGTACCTGGGGCCCCTGCCACTCATGTGGAAGATCCAGATGGAGTTCCTGGCTCCTGGCTTCAACCTGGCCCAGCCCAGCTGTTGTGGCCATCTGGGGAGTGAACCAGTAGATGGAACATCTCTCTGTCTCTCCCCATCCACTCTCTCAGTAACTCTTTCAGTTAAATAAATAAATCTAAAAAAAAAAAATCACTAAGCAGCTGTTTTAAGTTTTAGAGGTTAAATTTAAATCATCTGGGGTAGATGTTTGGCCTAGCAGTTAAAACGCCAGCTGGAACACCCATGTCCTACATTGCAGTGCCTGGGTTTGATCCCATTCTCCAGTTCCTAACTTCATCTTCCGCTAAAGCAGACCCTGCGAGGTAGCCATGATGGCTAAAATAGGCGGGTTAGTGCCACCCACTTGGGAGACCTGCATTGAGTTTCCAGTTTCTGGCATTTGGGGAGTGAAACAAGGGAGAGGGGCTCTCTCCTTTTCTCCATGTATCTATGCCTCTCAAATAAACAAATAAAAATCTAATTAATAGATAGTTACACCATCTATGTATTGTGGTCCGAGAACCCCCAACCTAAGGAAGGAGTTTAATTTGTAATCCTGACCCAATAATCACCAGGAACACCTTGCAAAGCTAAAATGCAAATACAGTTGTAAAACCCCTTAGGAGGGGAACACACCCAACCATGGCTCCCCCCACAGAAGACCCTGCCAAACTTGAGCGCCCAGTGCAAAACTTAGAGGTGTATAAACATACAGTCCTACCTGAGCAAGAGTAAGTGAATAACATAATTGCAATCCTTGTTTTAGATGTTGTTGGACTTCTAGGTTGTCTGCACTTTCTCAGACTGAGACTCTGAGAACAAAAGCAGAATTATCGAGCAGTCTAAGAAATATGTTGACGTGACTAAATATATTTAAAAGTGAACCAAAATCATGAGAAAAGAATTCTAGCCTATCAACACAGAATGTTTTATTATGTGAAAAAAGTGGGGTTTTTTTGTTTAAGGAAAAAGGCTACAAATGAGTAGATATGGTTGACTCTAAATATACCCACGTGTGTACTGCTACATAATATGAAAGTACCAAAAAACTTTGTGGAAGAATGGAATTAAAAATTGTTTATTTTGGTGCAGATAATTGTGAAATCCAGGTATATGCAAGGTCTTTAAAAAGTTCATGCAAAATGGGTAAGAGGCAAAACCCTGCATGGCATGATCACTCTGAAGTGCAGAAGTGAACAATGATCAGTTCTGAGTAGTGGGCTGGTGGATGGTTTCCCTTTTTAAAAAACTGATCATCGTCTTTCTGAGTTTTAAAGAATGACTATTTTTATTGTTACATAAGAAAAGACAAAATTAAAGTAATCTGAATATTTGCAGTCTTGATAATCCTAGCATAATGGAAGGGAGGAGTTCCTCACTGAGAAGTGTGCAAGGCACTGTGTGTCTCAGTCTCTAGAGAGGCCCTGCCTGGGTGCAACCCTGAACCTGGGTGGTGTTGCAGGTGTTTTGCTTTTGAGGGTCATTAGGGCAAAGCACAGGTTGTACCACTCTTTTCGGGAGGCAGCAGTGTTTGTTCTGTTGTTTATATGTGGTAATTTCTGAGTGGCACATGTCTCTCCTTAGACATGTATCGAGTTTGTACCCCAGGGGGGCTGCAGTCACTCAAATTAGTTTAAAAATATCATGAGTCTAAAAGATCAAGTTTCTTTTCTATTAACGCGGAGCTCACTGGAACCCCTTTGATCATACCATGTTTCTAAGGATGCCACTGGGGAGCCTTTGTCATTTTGCTTTGTATTCTCATGTTGAGTCAACTTTGCCTACTACTAATTTCACAGCTCTTGTAGAAAACATCCGTAAATACACTTGACAGAATACACTATGTACCCGCAAGTCTGATTTAGGGCTTCTGACGGGTAAAAACAGGTAATGCCAAGGCCCCAGGAGAATCTGCCTCCGTCACCATTACACCTGGCTTGATTCCCAAGGCTCTTGAAGGGATGTACCCAAACCGCCCTCCATCCCTCCCTCCCTCTCTCCCAGTCTTCCTCTCTCCCTCCCTCCCTTCCTTCCTTTACTCTCTCCCTCTCTTCCCTCCTCTTTCTTGCTTCTCCTTCCTTCCTTCCTTCCTTTCAAGATTTATTCATTTATTTGAAAGGCAGAGACAGAGAGAGAGAAGGAGAAAGAAAGAGAGAGAGAGAGAGAGAGAGACAGAGAGACAGAGAGACAGGTCTTCTATCCGCTGGCTCACTCCCCAAATGGCTGCAATGGCTGGAGCTGGGCTGATCCAAAGCCAGGAGCCAGGAGCTTCTTCTGGGTCTCCCACATGGGTGCAGGGGCCCAAGGATTTGGGCCATCTTCTGCTTTCTCAGGTGCATTAGCAGGGAGCTGGATCGGAAGTGGAGCAGCCAGGACTTGAACCATGCTCATATGGGATGCTGGCACTGCAGCTGGCAGCGTAACCTGCTGCACCACAGCGTTGGGTCTCTATGGTTGATGTTGTATCACTGTACTTGTTTCCATCTCCACTGCATGTCAATTCTTGCTTCACAGTGTAATATTGGCAAAGTATCTTGAGGTTCAATTCAGTAAATACTTTTTACCTTTGAAGTTAAACTCAATAAATATTTATTGAATTGAGACATTCAGTATGCTAATTACTGAGGTACAGAGCTGTGTAAGGCTGACCCTGCCCTTAAGGAGCTCAGAGTCTTGTAGGGGAGACAGATAAATGAACAAATAGTACCACAATCGTGCAACCACAGAAGTATGGACCAGATATGTACTAGGGCAAAGGAGGGAACGAATGATTGCTTGTATCTATTTCAAAAGCAAATTTTTTTGGAGGGGAAGAAAATTCAAATGTAAATAAAGAGAAATAACTGAGGTAATACACAGATGCAGGAGGAGAAAACCCACAGATTACCAAGTGTGGGGGCGGATGTTTGGCCTAGCAGTTAAGCCACCACTTGCCTCCCGTATCGGAATGCCTGGGTTCCGGTCCTGATTCCACTCCCCGTTCCAGCTTCCTGCTAATACCCATCCTGGGAGGCAGCAGGTGATGAGGGTTGAAGTAGCTGGGTCCCTGCCACTCATGGGTGAGACCTGGATCAAGTTCCCAGCTTGCGGCTTTGGGCTGGCCCAGCCCCAGCTGTTGCCGGCATTTAGGGAGTGAATCAGCAGATGGGAACTCTGTGTCTCTCTCTCAAATAAAATACACAAATAAAATTTTAAAAGATAACCAAGTGTGATTTTTGTAATGGTTTAATTATTTCCCCAACGCAGGTACCTATTTGAACTGAAGGAAGACGACAATGCGTGTAAAAAAGCGCAGCAGACAGGCACCTTTTACCTCTTTCACCACCTGGCTCCTTTGCTTCAAATATCAGAGCGTCATTATGTGGCCCCCCGCGTCAGCCTGTTAGGTAAGCCCACAGTGGACCCCTGGATTCATGGCTACCATGTAGTTCATACTGATTCTGTAAAGACAGCTCCTTGAACTTTTCAATTTTTCACACTTGTGTAGCTGCTTCTGTCAATTAATAATTTATTGTATGAACCCTAGCTCTCCAGTCAAAAGGATTATGATATGAACCACTAATGCCTTAAACCAGGGCTCAATAAACTGCTGTTTTATAAATACTTTTTTTACATTCTTGTTCATTTGCTTATGTGTTGTCTATGGTTTGCGTCTGCGCTGTAACGGCAGAACCGAGTAGTTGTGAAAAGACTGTATGACTAAACCAGTCTAAAACCCTTGGTATCGCTTTACAGAAAAAGGTTGCCTGAGATTTCCAGCCTTAGACTGGGGACTTCCAGCCTCATCTGTTACAGAACTTCATTTTTATGAAAAGGGTCAAAATTAAAAGTGAATTAAAAGGCCGGCACCGCGGCTCAGTAGGCTAATCCTCCACCTTGCAGCGCCGGCACACCGGGTTCTAGCCCTGGTTGCCCCTCTTCCAGGCCAGCTCTCTGCTGTGGCCAGGGAGTACAGTGGAGGATGGCCCAAGTGCTTGGGCCCTGCACCCCATGGGAGACCAGGAGAAGTACCTGGCTCCTGCCATCGGATCAGCGCAGTGCGCCGGCTGCAGTGCGCCGGCTGCAGTGGCCATTGGAGGGTGAACCAACGGCAAAGGAAGACCTTTCTCTCTCTCTCTCTCTCTCTCACTGTCCACTCTGTCAAAAAAAAAAAAAAAGTGAATTAACATAAAACTCTTTCAGTATTTATAAGTAAAGCTATCTAAGCTATTGGCATTTGGCATTCAAAATACTATCAGATTTTTAGACATGCTTTTGAACTATTTTTTTTATATGATGGGCCTACATTTTTTTTCTAAAATATTTACTGATTCATTTATTTGAAAGGCAGAATGATGGGAGTGGAGGTTGGAAGGAAAGAGACAGAGACAGAGACAGAGAGAGATTCATTTTCTACCTGCTGGTTGAGTCTTCAAATGGCCACAACAGCCAGGTCTGGGCCAGGCCAAAGCCAGAAGCTAGGAACACCATCCTGGTCTCTTACGTGAGTGGCAGGGGTCCAAGTACTTGGCCATCATCCCCTGCTTTCGCGGGCACATTAGCAGGAAGCTGGATCAGAAGCAGCTGGGAGGCCTGTGTTACAAGCAGCAACTTGACCCACTGTGCCACAATGCTGGCCCTTAAATTTCACTTTTATTTGCTGTCACCATATCCTGGATAACTTTTGACTACATTGCCAGTGAATTTCCCCCGGGTCAGATGTTGAAGTTCTCGGATAGGTAGTTTGCAGCAGTGCATAAGGTGCTAAGCATTGTGATGAACAAATTAATAAGTCCCACATGCACAGAGGGGCAAGTTTACTGTCTACACAGTACTTACCGCTGACAGATGGAGTTTCAGATGTGAGTAACCCCCTGGCCCACAAAAGCAGCACACTCTGGAGGCTAATTCTAGAACTGGATTGGTCGCTTCCATTTTACATTGTGATACTTACTGTTTTCAGTGCCTTAATAACATAACCATCGTGCAACTTATGAACTAGAGAATATGTTCCTTCCATCATGCAATCATAGAGTAACACAGTATTACTCAAGATTCCTTGTTTGACCTTAATCGCTCAGACTGTTGAAGGAGACACTGAGGCCTAGTTAGGTGAAGTGATCTGATCAAGAGTGCACAGTAATAGCTTCAGGGCAGTGACTTTAAGCCAAGAACAGCAGACCCTCCATATCTACTGTCCTGCATCCTGGATTCAACCAACCACAAACTGAAAATATTTGGGGAAAACATTGCATCTGAGGCAGGTGTTTGGCACAGTGGTTGAGACTTGAACAGCTACATTGTGAATGGCTGGATTCCAGTCCTGGCTCCACTTCTGTTCCAGTTTCCTGCTAATGCACACCTCTGAGAAGCAGCCAGTGAAGGCTTAAGTACCTGAGTTCAGGGCTCCTGGTTCTGCCAGCATTTGGGGACTGAACAAGCAGATGGAGTATCTTGTTCCATCTTTCAGGTCAATGAATAAATTTTAAAAATGGTGTAGGATTTACATTAAAAATTAGGCCTTCCCTTTTAAAAAAATCACATCTGTACTAAACATATGGTTTTTGTAGTCATTATTCCCTAAACAATACAACAAATATTGACATAGCACTTACATTGTCTTAGGTATTATAAGCAATCTAGAGATTATTTAAAGTATATGGGAGGATGTACATTGTATGGCATTTTATATAAGGGACTAGTCTGCCGCTTTATATAAAGGACTCGAGCATCTCCAGGTTTCGGTATCCGAGGGTGGTTTTGGCACCAGTCTCCCCTGGATAGCACTGAGTAGCTGTGACCCTGCTTTAAGCTGACGTAGATGATTTCCTGTGAGACGAGTATGGGTGTAGTGGTTTAATTGAAGCCCTTCTGCTTCTGAAGAGTTGGAAAAGCTCCTGGAGAAGTGCGGCCAGGATACGCAGAGGATAGAGGATTCCGTGCTGATTGGATGCTCTGAACAGCAGGAAGCATGGTTTGCTCTGGATCTAGGACTGAACAGCTCCTCTGCTGTAAGCGGTACGTAGCAGTGCTCCCGCTGAGCGCTGCCCAGCACTTCTCAGACTTGGGGTCTCACATACTGATGAAGAATGTTTTTCAAAATTTGGAGAATACAGAAAGGTGGCGAACTTTCTATTTTATTTCAAATAAGGACATAATAATACTATCACCTACCATCACCATTTAAAAGAAAATAAGACATTTTAATGCTTTCTAAACTAAGTTGTGGGTACACATGTTTATGAATTCTCTGTACCTTTATATACTTTATATCTTAAATGTTTCATAGAAGATGTTTTAAGATTCATGCCATCATTTTTTTTTTTTTATTTTCTCTTAGCAGTGCAGGCAAATAAAAATGTTCCCATGGAGTATTTCTCGTCCTCAGACCTCCATTTGGGAACCACGTTGCTATAGGTTCATGGCCCCTATCCGGCTTTCCTTCTCTTTTTAAGGAACTGGGCATAGAAGTGATGATGCTGGAGTGGAGGTCAGACAGAAGCTTCACGGTCCCATTTCATCTCTTTTCCAGGGATAACGTGTGGCTAATGCAAATATTCTTACTGCCCTGAAGAGGATACTGGGAAATACTATAATGTTTCCCAAACTGGCCTGAATATAAGAAACACCTGGTGCTTGTTTAAAAAAAAAAAAAAAAAAGTTCTGGGCCTCATTCCACACCTGCTGCTTCTGCACCTCCAGGTAGGGCTTGAGAACCTATAGATTTTTATTTTCTCCAGCTGAGTCTTATTAGGCTAGTTTGGGAAACAGGATAGACTGGAGAGGGGCCTGGTGGCAAAGTCTGTTTGACAATTGTCTGATTTTCCTCTTTGCCAATTTTCTAGCCTCCTTGCAGAAATCTCAAATGGAGACGGAGCTCCAGGGGTCCTTCATTGAGCTGAGGAAGGCCCTCTTCCAGATGGACGTGAAGGATGTCCCCTTGCTGTTCACGGTACACTCTGAATTTTCAGTTCTGTAGAAAACTTAATAGTGTGATGTATAGGCACATCCGTGAGTGCATACACAAGGCTGGGGTCACAGTGATCTCTTCTCCTGCAGATCAGAGGTCTTCCTACAGGTTTTGGCAGGGTGCCATAGGAAGATGGCTCGCTCTTCTTGTGCTTGTGTTTTTGGCAGAACTGCTGTCAAAACCATTTCCTCTTAAAGACTGCAAATCTATGGCAGTACTATCTGTCGGCCTCATAAACACTATTAACATCCACAGCATAACATCCACCATCGTGCTTTTCCTATGAGGCATAATTTTACATTGCTTTAATGACCTGTCCTCCCAGCTTCAGATTTCTCTTGCTTAAGTGTTTTGATAGTTCATTTACTTTTTTTTTTTTTTTAAGATTTATTTATGGCCGGTGCCGCAGCTCAATAGGCTAATCCTCCACCTAGCGGCGCCGGCACACCGGGTTCTAGTCCCGGTCAGGGCGCCGGATTCTGTCCCGGTTGCCCCTCTTCCAGGCCAAATCTCTGCTGTGGCCAGGGAGTGCAGTGGAGGATGGCCCAAGTGCTTGGGCCCTGCACCCCATGGGAGACCAGGATAAGCACCTGGCTCCTGCCTTCGGATTGGCACGGTGTGCCGGCCGCAGCGCACCAGCCGTGGTGGCCATTGGAGGGTGAACCAACGGCAAAGGAAGACCTTTCTCTCTGTCTCTCTCTCTCACTATCCACTCTGCCTGTCAAAAAATAAAAAAATAAAAATAAAAAATAAAAAAAAGATTTATTTATTTGAAAGTCAAAGAGAGAGAGAGAATGCTTCCATCTGCGGTTCACTCCCCAGATGGCCACAATAGCCAGGGCTGGTCCAGGCTGAAGCCAGGAGCCAGGAGCTTCTTCAGGGTCTCCCTTGCAGGTGTAGGGGCCCAAGTACTTGGGCCATCTTCTGCTTCTTTTCCAAGGCCATTAGGAGTGAGCTACATCAGAAGTGGAGCAGCTGGGACACAAACCAGCACCTACATAGGATGCAGGCATTGCAGGAGGCTGCTTCACCTGCTATGCCACAATGCTATCTAAAGGGAGACCTCTAAACAGTTTATAATTGGAAAAAAATTTTTGAACTCTGTTGGGAAGGAATATATGAGATGTTGAACTATACTGGAAAGATTTTCTTTTTCAACTGGGTAGCGAGTACATGGGCATTCATAAATATTTTATGTTAAAAAAATTTTGACATTTATGTATTTAAAAGATGGAGAGACAGAGAGATCTCTAATACACAGGTTCATTCCCCAAATGCCTCTAGGAACTAGGAACTCAGTCCTGGTCTTCCACATGGTTGGCAGGGACCCAGCTACTGAGTCATAACCTGCTGCTTCCCAGGGTGCACATTAGCAGGAACCTAGAATGCACAGCAGAGCCAGAATTTGAACCCTGCGCTCCAGTGTGGGATGTGGTGTCCCAAACAGCAGCTTAACTAACGCACCGAACACCCACACTCTTACATGTTTTAAATAACTCATCATCTCTTTACAGCCCTTATCTCTTGAGGAACAGTGTTTTTTTTTTTTTTTCTTCATACTACTTGTTGAACTTTTTTACTTGGTGTAGGGTTAACTTTAATTATTATTATTATTATTTATTTGAAAGACAGTTACAGAGAGAGGTACAGCCAGAGAGAGATCTTCCATCCACTGGTTCACTCCCCAAATGACCACAACAGCCAGAGCTGAGCTGATCCGAAGCCAGGAGCCAGGAGCCAGGAGCCAGGAGCTTCTTCTGGGTCTCCCACATGGGGCAGGGGCCCAAGCACTTGGGCCATCTTCTACTGCTTTCCCAGGCCACAGCAGAGAGCTGGATTGGGAGATGAGCAGCTGGGACTCGAACTGACACCATGTAGAATGCCGGCCCTGCAAGCTGAGGCCTTAACCCATTGTGTCACAGCACCAGCCACAGTGTAGTGTTAACTTTATGGTCATTAAGTAAACTGAAAGTAGATTTTTGTAAAACTTAAGAGTGGGAATGGGAGAGGGAGGAGGAAAAAGGGTTGGAGCTTGGGCAGGAGAGAGGGTAGGATGGGAAGTATCACTCTGTTCCTAAATCTGTATATATGAAACTTGTAACTTAAATAAAATTTTTTTAAAAAAACTTCATCATCCATTTTAAAATATGCTTTCCTTTACTTAGATTTCTGATGCTAGAGGAATATGTTCATATAGTTTCCTTATCTTAAAGTTTAAATTAGTAACCATTTAAAGTAGTGAAGCTGGGGGCTGATGCTGTGGTGTGGCAGGTAAAGCCACAGCCTACAGTGCCGGCATCCCATATGGGCACCGATTCAAGTCCCAGCTGCTCTGCTTCCTATCCAGCTCTCTGCTATGGCCTGGGAAAGCAGTACAAGATGGCCCAAGTCCTTGGGTCCCTGCACCTGCCTGGGAGACCTGGAAGATGCTCCAGTCTCCTGGCTTTGGATCAGGTCCAGCTCTGGCTCTTGCGGCCATCTGGGGAGTAAACCAGCGGATAGAAGACCTCTTTCTCTCTCTGCCTCTGCCTCACTGTAACTCTGCCTTTCAAAACAAACAAACAAACAAACAAATATCTTTTAAAAAATTAAAGTAGTGAAGCTGGAAAGACGCCGACATTTCCCTATGCACTGCTCTGGAGACATGCCTGGTGCCGTTCTGGGTGAGCCCCACAAGCTTTCTAAATGAAAACCAGGCATGTCTCTGTACTCGCAGGCTCAGGCTCTCCTCAGCTGGCATGATGCTCACCAGTTCTGCAGCAGAAGTGGGCAGCCCACCAGGAAGAACATGGCAGGGAGCAAGCGTGTGTGCCCTTCCAGTAACATCATCTATTACCCACAAGTAAGCAGGGCTTCAAGGGGACAGTAATCCCAGAGGTCATGGGCTGCTCAGTTCTGGCGAAGGAAGCCCACCCAATCATAAGGCTCTTCTTCCTTCAGTTCACTAGAGGCCCTAAAGGGCCCCTGGCTCAGTTTCCATCCCCCTCTCTTAGATGGCTCCCGTGGTGATCACTCTGGTGTCAGATGGAACCCGATGCCTGCTTGCCCGCCAGAGCTCCTTTCCCAAAGGAATGTACTCTGCCTTGGCAGGGTTCTGCGATATAGGTAAGTTCAGGGGATAAACAGGTGACACTGGAGGACCTAAAGTCTTATTAACAGGTGTTTGTTGCTGTTGCCATGGTGCTTGGTATCTCAAGCACATTCTTCCTTGTCACATCAAGAAAACCGCTGACATCCTAATTTTCCAGTATTAGGCAAATTTTTCAAACATGCAGCACACTTGAGAGAATCATACAGTGAACACCTGTATGCCTACACCTAGATTCCATAGCTTTGTACTCCATGTATCAAATAGCCATTCATTTGCCAATTAGTTTTTTAGTCAGCTCTTTGTTATTTGAACTAAAATACCCAAGAAGAGCTTCATGGAAAGAAAAGAATACTTCTGCTTACAGTTTGGAGGTACACAGTTCAGCACTGGGTGGTCCCGTTACTCTGGAGTCTGGTGGAGGCTGGCAGAGGTGGGGCAGGAACGGAAGCATAATCACATGGTAAGCCAGGAGGCAGAGAGAAAGAAGCAAGGCCAAACTTAGCTTAAATAAGCAACCATCCCTTGGGAACTGCCTTCTGAGGCAAGTTCCCAGTGACCTAAGGACCTGCCACCAGACCCACCACTCACAGGCCATAATTAGATCATTCTCCACCTTCAGTCCATCCACCCTTAACATTAAGACTTTACATTGAGGGGCCAGCACTGTGGCTCAGCGGGTAAAGCCGCCGCCTGCAGTGCCAGCATCCCATATAGGCACCAGTTCAAGTCCGGCTGCTCCTCTTCTGATCCAGCTCTCTGCTATGGCCTGGGAAAGCAGTAGAAGATGGCCTGAGTCCTTGGGCCCCTGCACCCATGTGGGAGACCTGGAAGAAACTCCTGACTCCTGGCTTCAGATCAGATGGGCTGTGGCCATTGTGGCCATCTAGGGAGTGAACCAGTAGATGGAAGACCTCCCCACCACCACCTCTTTGTAACTCTGTCTTTCAAATAATCTTTAAATAACAGAAAGACTTAAGAAGTGGCCACCAAAGAAGGATGTACTTTTCTCTGAAGGGAGGAGAGAACTTCCACTTTGCTTATGGCTTTGTCGAGCTACTGTATCTAAAAGGCTTCCATAGCCAAGGCAGCTCATGTCAAGAGCCTTAGGTGATCACTTATGCCATACATAAGAGTGTTATTTGTTAAAAAAAAAAACAACAAGAGGCACTGTGCACTAAGTTCTCATTCAGGACCTCTGTCCCCAGAGTTGTACCATGAGACTTAATAGTAAAACTTGTTCTGAAGAATCACTTCCTTTTAGTGTATTAAATGGAGGATATTACATCTCATAAGTTATAGTTACGTCTAAGAGCTCACAAAAGATGTATCATGCTTGGGTTCTTCTTTAAAGAATCAAATTTCTAAAAGGAAAGAAGGGGGAGAAAGGAAGGGATAAGAGGAAGGGGGGAAGCAAAATCATCTTCAAGAAGCGGTAACAGAACAGTCCTTGTCTAGACTGTTGAGGAACTGTTCTCTTAGTTGTTTAAATTCCATTCTTTTTTTTTTTCTTTCTCATACAGGAGAGGGAGGAAGAGGAGGGGGAGAGTGGGGGGTGCAGGTACAGTGGGAAGAAATACTATGTTCTTAATGTATTTATGAGATACATACAAATTAAGAAAAAAAAGACTTTACATCTGCATGAGTTTGGGGAGCCAAGTTTTGTTCATTCTGTAACACCATCCACCAGTTCATCTTATTTCTTGATGCACAAATTATAAACATTATTACACGTCTCCCTAAATATTTCAGCATCTTTAATATCAACTACAACTCAATATTTATTCATAGCTTGGTCATTTTTTTCCCAGCTCATTGGGGTAAAATTTGAACATGGTGGGAAGTGGAATTTTTAGCAACCTTGTGGGCAGCAGTGGCCTCCCCCACTGCCAGCCTTACTTCACATTGTAACGAACCTAGCAGGCTCAAGCACTGGTTCAGTATCCAACTCCAGACTTGATTCCTATTGTTGGTAAGAGTCAAAGGTGTAGGACACTCCCAAAGACGCTTCATAGACACTAAGTCAGTTTGGCACTCCATTCAAAATGGGCTATCATGATACAGACACATGACAGACTTCCTGCAGCAGGCTGTCCTGAATTACTCTGAATGCTTGCAGGTGAGAGTGTGGAAGAGGCTGTTCGTCGGGAAGTTGCAGAAGAGGTGGGACTGGAAGTGGAAAGCCTGCAGTACTCCACATCCCAACACTGGCCCTTTCCTAACTGTTCTCTCATGATTGCTTGTCACGCAACTGTGAAGCCAGGGCAGACAGAGGTGAGTTCTTGTTTCCCTTATGCTGTGAGGCTTCCTTGGCTTTACTTCTTACATCTCTATCATGTCCACCATGGCTTACATTACAAGATGTATGACTTATAACCCCAAGGAATTTGCAGTATAGTAAACCATCACCATTCTCCCCTGTATATCTCCCAATTATGAGATAATTTTTGAACTACTTTATTGAGGTACAATTGACATAGAAAAGCTGTAATTAATGAATGCAATTTGATGAATTTGGAGATAAATATACACCTCTGATACCATCAAATTATACCTATGCTATACATTTATTCATTGCATCCAAGTTTCTTCCTGTCCCCTTTGGTTTTTCTTTTTCGCAATAAAAGCACTTAACATAAGATCTATTCTTAGAAAAATTTTACATAAACAACACAGTATTAACGATAGGCCCTATGTTGTACAGATCTTCAACATATTTTACGTAACTGAAACTTTATACCCTTTAACCAATACCTCCCCATTTCCTCCTTTCCACTAGACCCTGGGCACCACCATTCTACTGTGTTTCTATGTTTGACCAATTGGGGTTCCACATGTGAGTTCATCTAGATTTTGTCTGTGTCTAGTTTATTTCATGTAGCATACCCTCCATGTTCATCCATTTTGTTGAAATGCAGTTTTCCTTTTTGCAAAGTTGAATATCCCATTGCATTTATTTACCGCTTCTTTATCCATTCGTCCACGATGGATAATTTAGATTGTTTACGTATCCTGGCTGTTATGAATGCTGCTGCAATGAATGTGGGAGTGCAGTTACCCATCTCCTCAGGGTTCAGATTTCAGTTCCTTTGGATATATATCCAGAAGTGGGATTGCTTGATCAAACGTAATTCTGGTTTTTTTTTTTTTTTTTTTTTTTTTTTTGACAGGCAGAGTGGACAGTGAGAGAGAGAGACAGAGAAAGGTCTTCCTTTGCCGTTGGTTCACCCTCCAATGGCCGCCGCTGCAGCCGGCGCACCGCGCTGATCCTGGCAGGAGCCAGGAGCCAGGTGCTTTTCCTGGTCTCCCATGGGGTGCAGGGCCCAAGCACCTGGGCCATCCTCCACTGCACTCCCTGGCCATAGCAGAGAGCTGGCCTGGAAGAGGGGCAACCGGGACAGAATCCGGCGCCCCAACCGGGACTAGAACCCGGTGTGCCGGCGCCGCAAGGTGGAGGATTAGCCTATTGAGCCACGGCGCCGGCTCCGTAATTCTGGTTTTTAAAGGTTTTATTTGAGTGGCAGTTACAGGGGAGAGGGGAGCAGGTACCTTCCATTCGCTGGTTCACTTCCCAAATGGCTGCAGTGGCCAGGGCTGGGCCAGGCCAAGCATGGAGCCTGGATCTCTCCATCTCAGTCTCCCACATGGGTACAGGGACCCAAGTACCTGGGCCATCTTTCACTGCTTTCCCAGGCGCATTATCAGGGAGATGGATGGGGAGTGGAGTAGACAGGACTCAGACCTGCACTCATACGGGTGCTGGCATCACAGGGGTGGCTCACCTGCTGTGCCACAACACCAGCCCTGATAGTTCTATTTTTAATTTTTTGAGGAAATTTCCTCTTCGTTTCTCTTTGTGGCTGCACCCACTTACATTCCCCACAACGGTGTACAAGGGTTCTTTTTTCCGCAAATCCTTGCCAGCATTGGTTGTCCTTTATTTTTGATGATAACTATCCTAGCAGATGCGAGGTGATAGCTCATGGTTTTGATTTGCATTTCCTTGATTAGTGATGCTGAACAACTTTTCATATAACTTTAGCCACATGTGTGTCTTCTTTTGAAAGCTGTCTCTTCTGGTCCTTTGCCCGTTATTTCTAGTTTTTTGTTTTTTAGATTTGAGTTGTAGGTGTTCCTTAGGTACTTTATATATTAGTCCTTTATCAGATACATGGTCTGTAAATATTTTCTTCCATTTTGTAGGTTGCTTTTTTTCCCCCTTTGCTCTGATGAAGTTTTTAGTCCGATGTAATCCCACCTGACTATTTTTGCTTTTGTTTCCTGTGCTTCTGTTGTGCTATCTAGGAAATCATTGCTCAGTTCAGTGTCTAGAAGCTTATTCAGTATGTTTTCTTTTTTTTGTATGATTTATTTATTTATTATTTGAAAGGCAGAGTTACAGAGAGGCAGAGGCAGAGGCAAAGAAAGAGATCTTCCATTTGCTGGTCCACTCCCCAAATGGCCACAATGGCCAGGGGCTGGGCTAGGCCAATGCAAGGAGCCCAAGGACTTGGGCCAGCTTTTACTGCTTTCCCAGGCCATAGCAGAGAGTGGACTGCAAGTAGAGCAGCCGGGTCTCAAACTGGTGCCCATATGGGATGCGAGCGCTGCAGGCAGTGACTTTACCTTGCTATGCCACAGCACCGTCCCCTCCAAGTTTTCTTCTAAGAGTTGTATTCTCTCAGATTTTACATTTAAGTCTTTAATCCCTTTGGAGCATTTTTTTTTAACTTGGTGTGACACACAACTCAATTTCATTCTTCTGAATGTGGATATCCAATTTTCTCAACACCATTTATATAAGACAATTCCTCTTCCATTGTCATGTTTTGAGAGAATCTTACATATAGTGGGCACATAAATTATTTAACTTAACTGTTTTCAGGACTGGCCTTATTGCTCAAGATGTTGTCTTATCTAACTTCTCACTCTTCTACTTTTTTTAAGATTTGATTTATTTGAAAGGCAGAGTTACAGAGAGAGGAAGAGAGAGAGAGAAAGAGAACCAGATCTTGCATCTGCTGGTTCACTCTCCAAATGGCTGCAATGGCAGGGTTGGGCCAAGCTGAAGCCAGGAGCCAGGAGCTTCATCTGGTCTCCCATGTGGGTACAGGGGCTCAAGTTCTTGGCCCATCTCTGCTGCCTTCCCAGGCACATTAGCAGGGAGCTAAAGCAGAAGTGGAACAGCGAGGACTTGAACCAGTGCCCATGTGGGATGCCAGCATTGCAGGCAGTGGCTTAACCCACTGCTCCACTGCGCTAGCCACCAACTCTTCTGTAGCATCCTGAGAGATGGCATTGTGGTTCCTGCCTGCTATGGTCTACCTAGTGTGTGTGTGTGTGTGTGTGTGTGTGTTTTAAAAGATTATTTATTATTTATTTCAAAGTCAAGAGTTACATAGAGATAGAAGGAGAGGTAGAGGTAGAGGTAGAGAGAGAGAGAGAGAGAGGTCCTCCATCTGCTGGAGAGAGAGAGAGAGAGAGGTCCTCCATCTGCCGGTTCACTCCCCAATTGGCTGCAATGGCCAGAGCTGCACCAATCTGAAACCAGGAGCCAGTAGTCTCTTCTGGGCCTCCTATGCAGGTGCAGGAGCCCAAGCACTTGGGCCATCTTATACTGCTTTCCCAGGCCACAGCAGAGAGCTGGACTGGAAGTGGAGGAGCTGGGACTCAAACCTGCGCCCATATGGGATGCCGGCACTGCAGGTAGTGGCCCCAGCCGCTATGCCACAGTGCCAGTTGTGTGGTTTTTATAGCACATCTAATCTATCTCGGCTTCCTGTGGACAAAGTTTATATTAGTTTGGTTTCTGCAAAAAAATACACTATGCTTCTGATTATCATTAATCCTTATCCTTGGAAAATCCTTATCCTTAGAAAAAAAGAGTAACATTTATAATTAAAAAAAAAAAAAAAAGGATTTGAAAGGCAGAGTTAGGAGAAGAGACAGGGGCCGGCACTGTGGCTCACTTGGTTAATCTTCCACCTGCGGCGCCGGCATCCCATATGGGTGCCGGGTTCTAGTCCCGGTTGCTCCTCTTCCAGTCCAGCTCTCTGCTGTGGCCTGGGAAGGCAGTGGAGGATGGCCCAAGTGCTTGGGCACCTGCACCCGTGTGGGAGACCAGGAAGAAGCACCTGGCTCCTGGCTTCGGATTGGCATAGCTCTGTCCGTAGTGGCCATTTGGGGGGTGAACCAATGGAAGGAAGACCTTTCTCTCTGTCTCTCTCTCTCAATCTGTCAAATAAATTAAAAAAAAAAGAAGAAGAAGAAGAAGAGACAGCAATCTTCCATCTACTAGTTTACTACCCAAATGGCTGTAATGACCGTGGCTGGGGCAGGTAGAAGACAGAAGCCTAGAACTTGATCCAGACCGCCGACCTGGAAGACGGGGGCCCAAGCACTCAGACCATCTTCTGCTGCCTTTCCAGGTGCATCAGCAAGAAGCTCGATTGGAAGCAAAATATCTGGGACTCAGACAAGCGCTCTGATACGGGATGGTGGCATCGAAGTGGCAGCTTAACCTGCGATGCCACAATGCCAGCTTTTGCACTTTTTTAAAAAAAAAAATGTATTTATTTGAAAGGCAGAGACACAGAGAGAGAGAAGAGAGAAGAGAGAGAGAGAAAGGGAAAGGGAGAAAATCTTCCATCACTAGTTCACTGCCCAAATGGCTACAGTAGTCAGGCTGGACCAGGCCAAAGCCAGGAGCTTTATCCGGGTCTCCCATGTGGGTACAGGGGTCAAGCCCTTGGGCTATCTTCTGCTACTTTCCCAGGCACATTAGCAGGAAGCTGGATCAGAATGTAGCAGATGGGACTCAAATCAGCACCCATACACGATGCTGGCACTACAGGTGGTGACTTAACCTGCTGTGCCACAGTACTAGCCCCTGTATCTTCTTTTTCAATTGAAAGAGTCATACGTCATTAGGAGTGCAAAGAAAAGCAAGTACTATTCATAACTTCCTCTCAATCTTAATTACTTTCAATATTTCATCTTTGAACTTATAGGTTTTTTTTTTATTTGACAGGTAGAGTTATGGACAGTGAGAGAGAGAGACAGAAAGGGGATTTTTTTTAAGATTTATTTATTTGAAAAGCAGAGTTACAGAGAGGCAGAGGCGGGGAGGGGAGGGAGGGAGGGAGGGGGAGTCTTCTCTTCCATCCACTGGTTCACTTCCCAAATCGCCACAACAGCCGGGGCTGGGCTGATCCGAAACCGGAAGCCTCTTCTGGGTCTCCCAGATGGGTGCAGGGGCTCAAGGACTTGGATCCTCCTTCACTGCTTTCCCAGCCGCATCAGCAGGGAACTGGATCTGAAGTGTAGCAGCTGGGACTCGAACCAGCATCCATATGGGATGCTGGCACTGTAGGCGGTAGCTTTACTCACTACACTACAGCACCGGCCCCTAATTCTCATCTCTTATACCTATTTGGCATCTGGGCAATATCCAGAACTATTTTCACTATCTTCTAAGATTTCTTAATTCTAGAATCATTTCCTTAGCTTTGGCTGCAGTATTTTAAATTTTGTAGCTCCTAACCTTACATCCTTTCCTTCTTTATATCTTTCAGATCCAGCTGAACTTGAAAGAACTAGAGGCAGCTGCCTGGTTCAGTCATGATGAGGTGGCCGCAGCCCTGAGGAGAAAGAATCCTTACATTCGTCAACAGAATGAGACTTTTCCGTTCTGGGTGCCCCCGAAGTTAGCCATTGCTCACCAACTGATTAAGGAATGGGTGGAAAAACAGGCCTGTTCCCCGCCTGCTTAGCCCGGATGAACTCACCTAGAACCCTCCTTGGTATCCTCCGAGGAGAGACCCGAGATTAACTGTAAAGGGGAGGTGACAAGGCCAGCTGCAGGCCAGTAAGGCAGAGCAGATGAGCCTATAACGAGACACTCATATCAGCAGTGTTACAGAACGAAGTCCTTACTAACAGACAATCAAATATGCCAATGGGAATCGAACAACTGATGAGCTATTAACTATCAAAATCACAGAGAATAGTAAAACATTAGTTTAGATATAGACACATGTTCACTCATTTTTCTCCAAGGTTTAGGAACAAGTATCTTCCAGTATGTGGCTTATTAACACTACATGTACAGTAATTGCCAAATATGACTGGTGTGATTTTAGCTTAAAACTTGATCTTAGTATTAAAAATATAATACTCCACTCACCACTGAGTTAGGTTTTATCCTCACAGAATTAAGAAAAATACCACAACGCAACATTTTTTAACTTGTATGCAGGTATATTCTTATACACGGTATTTAAATAAAAATCATTTCTTTCAGTCTTCCAAAGGGATGAGGAGAGTGGGAGCTCAGGTCTGTCTGTCTCAGACACATGGGATAAATCAGATGCAGTGAGGCCCTGGGTAGCTGAATCCAGGGAGACTCAAGATGGTAAGGACTTTTTTGTTCTCAGCTGTGTTACTTGCTCAGTTTGTCACTCAGGAAAAAAACTCTCAGTTTTCCAGCCTGTTTTCCTAAATGTATAGCAATGGTTACTGGCAGGTGCATACCCCAAGTGTTGATAAACATCAACTAAGGAATGAATGAGATTAAACAAATGTCAATCCCGAACCGTTTCTTGAGCCTTATGGGATAAAAGTAAGTTAGGAGTTCTCATCATTTTCGTATGCCTATTCTATACCTTGTGATAGGGAGGAGAGTTTATCTGGGAGAAATAAATAAATCTCCAAATCTGCTCAGATGTATTTTTTTCTGTCTTATGACTTGAGGAAATTTTAGAAAGTGAGAACTGGGAGTGGGAGGCAGCGAAGATGTCTTTATTGGTGTGACAAACATTTAAGTCCACAGCTGAAGCAATCAGCAGAAGCAGTACTGTTAGAGTCCAGCTGAAAAGGAGAATGGCTGGGGAAAGACTCCTCCCTTGAGATTATTCTAGGGACTAATTTGTGCTTCAAAGACTCACGTCCCAGAAACCCTAGGATTAGTCACACATCAGAGTCCCATAGGGCTAAGCAAGAGAGTTGAGATCTAAGACAGCTGAAGCACTGAAGGGTGGGTGCTGTGGCGCGGTGGGTCAAGTGCCACTTGGAATGCCAGCATCCCATACTGCAATGCCAGTGTGAGTCCTGGTTGTTCCGCTTCCTGTCTAGCTCCCTGCTAATGTGCCTGGGAAGAGAGCAGAAGATGGCCCAAGTACTTGGGTCCCTGTTACCCATCTGGGAGATCTGGATAGGGTTCTAGGCTCCTGGCTTTGGCCTGGCCCAGACCTGGCTGTTGCTACCATTTGAGGAGTGACCCAGCAGATGGAAGGTAGATATTTCTATCTCTCCGTTTCTGTCGTTCTGCCTTTCAAATAAATAAATTAATTTTAAACATAAAAAAGGAAAGCACTGCTCTCTTCACTGACCACCATCATGGCTTCAGGGCAAATCGAAGTGCCTTCTTCAGAAATTGTTGAAGAACAGCATGTGATGGGACTTCACTGTCCTGTTCTATTGGCAGGCAGCTTGCTTGCCTTTACCTGGGCCAAACCCAGTGTGTGGGAGAGAAAAGAAAGGTTCCAAGATTTCTTCATCTCTAGCAATTAGAAGAAAACAGTTCAGGGTCCATGTTATTACTGTTTCCTGATCTCTTCTACCTAATGTGGATGTGTTTGTGAGCACATGTGTACACATGACCAAATCTGAAAACAGTGACAGAACGGGGAGTGTGCAGTATTCCTGGTTATGAGTTTCCCAAACCTACTATGGAGTAACTGTTTGCTTTTTGATTAATGTGGTTTTTGGAAAAGAATAGAGTGGCTAGTGAAGCTCTGCAACACTGAACTTTGTTTCCCAGAAGCGACTGGGAAAGCTTTGCTACGAACTCCAAAGCAGACGGCAGGGTGGTGTACCGAAAATAGCAAATAAATAAAACAAACTACAAGGCTACTTGGGCTGAAGACTATAACATCCTTCAAAAACTCTGTGCAAAGTGAGATTAAAAGATTGATTTTTTTGGGTATAAAAAATTTTGAAATCCATGCGGTTTTCATAATGCACATTTTACATGCAATTTTTGGAAGCCTCCTAATATAAAGAGATTTCAGATGTTTCTACACCAGAATTTTTTTTTTAAGATTTACTTATTTGAAATACAGAGTTAGAGGGAGAGAAGGAAAGACAGATCTTCCATGCACTGGTGTACTCCCTAAATGGCCACAACTACTGGGGAGTGGCTGGATTCAGTTCCACCTCTGCTCCTGCTTCCAGCAGCAGGTGATGGCTCAAGTACATAGGCCCCTGCCACCCACACTGGTGACCCAAACAGAGTCCTTGGCTCCTGGCCTTGGCTTGGCTCATCTGCAGCTGTTGCAGGCATTTGGGGTGGGAACCAGTGGGTGGAATTTATCTATCTCTGTCTCTCTGCCTTTTAAATAAAGATTTAAAAGACAACATTTCAAAGTACCTAATATTATGTAAAATGTTAAATATGTTGCCCTATGTAATTAAAAAAAATGTTATGCTTTTTTAGTATGTAATACTTTTCCTCTTCACTCATTTCAGTCAACCACCATAAACATATAAGAGGGAGGATTGGAGAGGAGTATGATATGGTTAGCTTTCATTAATTTGTTACAGTAGATTCCCAATTAGTAAGTCTGTTAGACCATTCTCCTAATTTTTCCCTTGGTTGCTGAAGAGGGAACATTATAGCTGGCTCTCCATATCTGTGGGTTCCACATCCATGGATTCAATCAATCATGGATAAAAAAGATTTTAAAAAACTGAACTGAACTGAACAAACACAGTACATGTTTTTGTTTGTTTTTAAAGGCAGAGAAAGAGAGGAGAGAGAGAGGTGTTTTCCTTTTGCTGTTCACTTCCCAGATGGCCACAACTACCAGAAGCTGGGCTGATCTGAAGCCAGGAGCCAGGAGCCTCTTCCAGGTCTTCCACATGGGTACAGGGGCCCCAAGGGCTTGGACCATCTTCTACTGCTTTCCCAGGCCAGAGCAGAGAGCTGCATCGGAAGTGGAGCAGCCGGGACTTGAACCAGCGCTCACATGGGATGCTGGCACTGCAGGCAGCAGCTTTACTCACTACACCACAGTGCCGGCCCCCACAGTATGTTTTTTCTTGTCATTACTACCTTAACAATACAGTATGACAACCACTGATATAACACTTACACTGTAGTAGAGATTATAAGTAATTTTGAGATGAGTTAAAGTATACAGAGGAATGTGACTAGGTTAGATGCTAACATCCCATTTTATGTAAGAGATTTAAGTATCCTGATTCAGGTATGTGTTGGGGTTGAGTCTCTGACCCTCAGCTAGGATTTCCTAAAGGGACTCGTGGGTCCCTCAGAGCCACCTCCCACCTCTGGCCCCTGAGCGGAGTCAGCCATGACCAGGGTGGGCAGAATCATCCTGCCACAGCTGCTCCCCAGCCTGGGAGGGGGCGTCTAGCAGGGCTGCTGGAGTCTTGCCAGGGTCTATACACTGCATACCTCCTCCCTGGGTCTCAGGATCATGGCAAGTCTCCTGTCCAGAGAGCGCTGACTCAGGGGCTGAGGAAATCTGGAACCTTCTAGGGAGTCTGGAGCAGATGGAGGAGGTGAGCGCCCGCAAGGGACACCCAGGCATTCCCCCAGGATGGACAGAGAAGAGGAGTGGCCTTCAGAGGGAAGACACCAGCCAGGGAATCAGGGCTTGTGAGAGCAGGTGGCATCACTGTCCATACCACCTAGATGCGCAGGTGCAGGGGACTCTCAGGGGCAACTGCTACCCCAGCCAAGGATGCACCTGGCCTGGGATCCCCACCCCAGGGGCCTCCCAGAGTCAAACCCCTAACAATGCTGATGAGCCACACCCCGGAATGCAGGGAGCTGAGCTTGCAAGTGAACCCCAGATGCCAGAGCCCCCTGGGACCTCCCAGGCACAGGCTTGTGACCAGCTGAGGGAGGTCAGAGGAGGGACCCAGGCTGCTGAAGCGTGGTGAGGCAGAGACTGTGGGATACCCTTGCCCCTGAGGAAGGAGAGACGAGACGGGCAGGACACAGCCCCCAGGCACCTGCGCCCCAGCACACCCATAGGAGCACACTCTCGGCACAGAAACCTTCTCTGGCCTACTTCTGGGAGCTGCACCCCACCAGGTCATCATTGCCCACTTCTGAGTGCTCAGGTCTCCATCCCTGCCAGACAGGCCCAGGCCTGGGCACCCAGGGGCTCCAGGCCTCTGCCTAGGATCATTTCAAAACAAAAAGGTCTTAAAGCTGTATTAGAAGTAATGAATTGGAATGCAGAGTAAACGACATTGAGCAGTAGAGAAAAGCCTTAGGCACGGTCACAGTGGTGCTGGATCTAATTGCCAGTGTCTGTGCAAGGCCCTGGGTGTTGAGGGACCCTGGGGTCTCCTTCCCTGGGTGGAATCCTTCTCTGCCCATGGACTCCTGGGCACCCCTGTCTTCAGGCCTAGCTGGGGTGAGCAGGGCCAGTGCATGGCACCCATAGCAGCCCACCATGCCCCTCCCTCCTCACTGCCCCCCGCTCTCCCCAGCAGCTCAGTGCAGACAGCAGGGGTCAGCAGTGCACAGAGGTCCTGCTGCTCTCTCCCTAGGACCCCACTCGACAGCCTTGGTGCCCTCTCCTAGGTTCAGGGGGAAGAGGAAATGGGTTCCAGGATGTGTAGGAAAGAAGGCAGAGACACATGGGGGCAAGCCAGGCATGCAGGAGCCAAGGCCACCCAGATCCAGGAGACAGTACTAAGGTGACACAGACCCTCCCACCACAACAGTCCCTATTGTGCCGATCTGTCCCAGAGGTCACGGGCACTCACGGCTGCTGCTCTCCCACCCTGGCCCAGTCCCCGTAGGGCACAGGTGAATCTCAGGCATTGCCTGCAGGGTCCTGAGCGGGTCTCTGCCTGGGGCTGGGGGCTGTGGAGCCACCCACACTCTCCAGGAGCACGGGGAAGCTCTGCTGCAGCTGGGCGCTGGGGTCACAAACTGGAGCAAACTCGTTTCAATGATATGGTTTAATACAGGGTCAGTACCACCTGAGGGTGGCGGGGGTGGGGGGATAGTACAGTGGCTCCTGGCACTGCTATCGTTTCCAGTGACAGGGTGTCCTGGCCCAAGGAAGAGCCAGGGGGTGGAGGGCTCAATCAAGTGTATAGGGTGCCGTGTAGACACATGGAAGGCTGTTGCCCAGCCTGGGCAGGACAAATGGTGCACTCGGCCTCTCTTCTAGGAGGCACCCATCATCCAGGTGCCCCATAGAATAGGAAGCCAGGAGGCCTCGGGCCAGGGAGGGCACTCGGGCCTGGTCTCCCAGCCCAGGGCTGGCTCTGGCCGGCTCCAGCCCATAACTGTCCCCAGAGTGCGTGGGGCTGCCATGCCGGTAGAGGGGAGTCTTCAGCCGTGGCCCCCAGGCTGGGGCGGCCTGCATGGGCCCTGGTTCCGGGGGCTCCAAGGCCTGTGGAGGAGCCCACATCCACAGGCCCTCCCGGCTGCCAGCGTCGGAGGAGTCGTCCTCGCTGTGCTCGGGCCCGCTCAGGTTAGGGAGACTGGCGCACTGGCACAGGCCTCCCCACCTCCTTGAGCACTCTGGAGACTCCGTGGGGCTGGCCGCACCTGGAGACTCTGCGGTCCCCACAGGGGAGCCCAGGCCGAGGGGCTCTGGGCTGCCTTCGCAGCTCTCCTCCTCCTCCTCCTCCATGCCTTCCCTCACGGCGATGCGGAGACCAAAGCTTTCTGCAGGATGGATCAGCACTGCACGGGCAGCGGGACCCCTGGTCTGCTCCCACACTGCCACTGTGTCCTGAATGGCGATCTTGGCCTTCATGCCAGTGGGGGCAGGAACGTGCTGCTTCTGGGGGACGCGTGCCTGCCCCAGGGGCCTGCTGCACCGTTCGATGGCCTTGGCTGGAAGAAGAAGAGACGCGGTTTGCTTCTCCACAGCCCCCGTCTGGCCTGCAGGGTGCTTGCCCCAGCCTCACCCTGGGGTCCCCACCACCCTGTGTGACGCTGAGGACTCTCCCAGGCTGCTGGCCCTAGAGGGGAGGGTGTGTGCAGCCTGGGCCAGGGGAGCCTTGGGACACCTCCGGCTCCTCCTGCACAGCCCCACAGGGTGGATGGCCCTGCCCTCCCCGCCTCACTCTCTCATCTCTGGGGACTGAGGCACCAACTCAGGACCCTGTCACCTACCCCGCCTGACCTCCTGGGTCCTAACAGTGTATTGGCTGAGTTACCCGCATCTGAGTCCCTCCTAATGGCTGGAAAGGAACTGAGCCTAAGATGATGGGGGTGAGAGCTGGGGCTGTGGGGCAGACATGGAGTCTGGTTCAGGCCCTCGGGGACAGGGAATGCAGTTTCTAAAGAGGTGGCAGGGGTGCCCTGTGTCCTCTGACCGTAGGCCACTGTCCCTTTCCCGGTGAGACTGGGCTGTCACCGCTTCTGTCCCACGAGCACCCAGGGGAGGCAGCACCTGGAGGCACAGTGGGGCCTCCCCAGTGCCTGAACAGCCTGCACCTGGGCCCCCACTGCCAGCCTCTAGAGCTGGGACAAACCCATCTCTGCTCTGCATGGGGACCCAGGCGCTCAGGTCCTTGATGGCAGCAGCAGCAGGGGACGAGCACGGGGACCCCTCCCCACCAGAGCCCAGAGGCCAGCACTGCTCCGGGTCCCGCTGACTTCTGTTGGCCCGAGGCTAGGACTGCAGAGCCCACACTCAGCTGCACTTGGGTTCTGCTGCGGGGGCCCCCAGCGCCTGCCTCTGCACCCACCCTGCTCACAGGAGTGCACTCGGCCCCCACAACTGGGCTCAGGGCACCTGGGCCTTCCAGGGGTCCTCAGATGGCTGAAGGGGATCCAGTGCCGGCTGGCTTTGGCCTTCACTGTGCAGGGTCTCCCACAGGCCCACCTCCCTCTAGCCCTGCCTATATGCAGGTGGGAGCCCTGCCCACCCCTGTCCTAGGAGGGTCCTGTGTGCAGACAGTTGTGGTCATCGGGCCAGGAGCCTGTGTGGGGTCAGTCGGGGAGAGGCCCCCTGGGCAGGCAGGGCTGCTTCTCATCTTGCTGGAGTGGGGGTCCAGCTGTGCTCCGTGCTCCTGGGGCCAAGGAGCCAGGGCACCTGCTCCAGACCTGGGCGGGGTAGCTCAAGGCGGGGCCTCGAATCCACTCCAGAGTGGGGGTCAGCCGAGGAGCCAGAGCCACAAACAGGGCCCTGAGGACAGCTCCACAGCCCAGCCCCAGAGTTGTGGGGGGAGAGCGAGCCATCACCCACAGGAGGATTCTGGGAAGCTGCCCGAGGCCCCGCCAGGCCATGCTGTCAGAGCTTCAGAAAGCAGAACTGCTGAGCCCGGGGAGGACAAGGAGGACCAGGAAGAGGGGAGGCCCTGGGCGGGGCTGCCAGGGCCTGGCACTCCCACTACTGACTCCCCCAAGGGAGCATGGGACGGGGCCGTGTGCCGGACTCACCTTCGGGAGGCAGGAGGCACTGGAGCTTCCCCAGCTCACGCATGGAGGCCCGCAGCTGCCTGATGACCGCATCCTCGCTCAGTGACCAGGCCTGCTTCAGGGTCACCTGCAGGAACTCCCGGAGGTGGTCCCGGGGCATCTTCAGGAGGCGCTCTAGACGTGGGGGTGGGCGTCAGGCTGGGAGGGGCCCTAGGGATGGTGCAGCCACCATGGCTGCTCCAATCCCTGTCCCAGCACCAGACATGGGCTGCAGACCCCCTTAGACACCCTTGGGTGTCAAGCCAAGCACTGGAGGGGACTGAGCAGGGGCCACTTTCCTGGGTGATGACCCTGGCCACTTCTCCTTGTGGTCTGTGTGGGCCTGGGGTTGTGGGTGCAACAGGGGGATTCTCAGTGCCCTCCTGAAGGGAACCCAGAACTCACAAACCTCCTCATCCCTCCCTCAAGCCCTGCTCATGACGGACAGGCAGGGAGACACCCAGCTCCTCCGTCCCCAGCACCCGGGCCTCTGTGGACCCTGAGGACTTACTCTGATGGATCTTGAGGGCCGTGTAAGCCATGGTTGTGAGCACATGCTCGCCCTCAAGGATGTAAATATCCCATATCCTCAGAGCCAGGGGGAACGGCACCTGGGGGACAGAGGCATTGGAGGACCCTGCCCGACAGGGCCTCAGTAGGCCCTCAGGGGGTGGGTGTGCAGTGTCACTACCCTAGGACAGAGGGAGACTCCAGGAGGCTGCATCACACAAGAAGGCCAGAGCTCCTCCTGGGAGGGGAGGGGAGGGTGGGGGACTCGTTTCATTGGTAGGTGAGGCCATGCCTCATGGCCACATCCCCGCCCACTCAGGGAACCAGACCCACAGAGGATGACCATGTCCTGTCCCGGAGCCTGGGGGTCTGCACACTTTGGAAGCCACACTGGAAATGCCAGACACCCCAGGGACCTGGGGGATGGGTCAGCCCTTGGGCTGCGCTGACACCAGCCTGTGCCACTGGGGGTCTATGGATCTCCTGCCTCTTACTGTAGGGCTCTGGCCTTTGCCAGGCTCTCAGGATGGGTCCTGGTGGGACCTGTCCCCTCCTTGCTGGCCCTGAGGCTCAGCCTCAGCTTGGACCACCCTTAGCAGGACAAGGCCTGCTGGTCTGCACAGCAGGCTCCCTCCTGTGTCTGCTGGGGCTGGGGGAGCTCAGTCACAGGCCACCAGGACAGGAGAGCCAGGCACTGGGGCAGGAGCTTCCCTGGGCAAGGGGTCCCCAGGGCACTTACCCCCTCCAGGAAGCACTGGATGTACCAGTGGGCGGTGGAGTCCTCCAGGCACACACCCTCCTCCTCCTAAGAAGAGGCAGAGGGGGCTCAGGGCCCAGGGCCCAGGCCTGACTCCCTCTAATCTGAGCCCTGGGGCAGAGCCCCTGGGTGCAGGAAGCCCAGCAGCAGGTGCATCCCCCCTCCCAGCCATGCAGGTTCTGAAGGGACACAGGTCCCTCAGTCCACTCTGCCCTGGGGACAGCGTCTCCCTGCAGTCTATGCAAACTCTGGGGGACCAAGTGCTAGAAAACATACCAACACCCAAGCTGCCACGGACCCCAATAACCCAGGAAAGCCTTGGTGAGGACGTGGCCTGCCCTGGCCCAGGAAGGAGTCAGGACCCCTTTCTGTCCTCCCCTCCCTGAGCACAGAGCCCCCGAGAGGAGAAAGGAGATGTTTACTTACCAGGTGTTTCTCCAGGGAGGGGAGCACGTGATGCACGATCTCTCCCAGGTGTTGCTGGAATCGCTCCAGTTTTGGGGCGTTGGGTTTGTAGAAACCTGAGTAGTATTGGCCACACCCCCACGTTAGAGCCTCCTCCTAGGAAGGCTGGAGAGCCCCAGGCCTGGGGGGGGGGGTGTTTCTGAGCACTGAGGGTCAGGGGAGGCTCGACCAGGGGCAGGTGGGGATGAACGTGGCCAGGGCAGAGGATCTGCTTGGGAGGTGGGTGTAGGTGGGTGACTGTGTGCAGCCCAGGCCAGGCTGCCCCCTGGAGCCCGCTGGGGTGAGTGCTGTCAAACTGGGTGCCTCCTGACCATTCTGACATTCAGGAGCGAGGAGGGGTGACCCTACAGGGGATGCTGCCTTCTGCAAGTTCCCTGGGTGTGGCTCTGTGCTTGAGAGTCTGCATAGAGATGTGTGAGGCAGAAGAGCCAGACGCGACCCGAGTCACTGGACAAGGACAGGATCCCTTGTTCTGAAGGTTCCCACACCCAGGATGGCCATGGCCAAGCTGCAGGGCCTTTGGATGGTGGTGAAAGAAGGGGGCTGGCTCAGTCTGGGAGGCCTCTGCCAGCCCTGGCTTCTAGGGAGCCCCCCTCCCAGGGACATTGTCCTGCACAGTCAGGAGCCAGTGAGGGCCGTGCACGGACTTGCATGCACTGGGCCCCACACGCCATCCACCTACCGTGCATCGCGTGCTTGGAGTTTTCCATGAGCTGGACCAGGGCCCAGAAAGAGTCCTCCTCGGGCATATACATGAGCAGGAGCGCCACCACATGGCTCAGGCCCTGGCTGTAGCCCACCTCCTGCAAGATCCCAGAATACCTTTAGGAGAACTTCCCTGGCAAGAATGATATCCTGGGATGGCCCACCTCTCAGGGAGATCAGGGTCACCCACTGAAGGGTCTAGGAAGATTGGGGAGCGAGCCCTTGTGCCTGAATCCTGCCATTTGGTGTCAGCAGCCCAAGAATTGGAGCCATGGAAGTTCTCCAAGTTCCTGGAGGGAATCCTGCAGGGCCTGGGCTTAGGCAGCACAGGGGGGAGACCTGAAGTATGGACACCTGTTATTTTTTTTTATTTTTATTTTTTTGACAGGCAGAGTGGACAGTGAGAGAG